TACAAAGTTTGCGCGCTTGTCATTTTTGTCAAATGGTAAAGCAGAAAGATATTATTGGCGATTTGTGTTGACTAATGTTAGTAGTTTATAAAAAAGTTAAAGTCATGTGCCAATCAAGTGCCACGATTTTGAAATAAGCTTTCAAAGTTGATATATTTTGAGACGATATCCGTTATCCGTTCAGGAGGGTCAATAACTGCGCTGTTTTCTATTTTATACCAAAGAATAATTATTTAAATCATATCACCAACGAAAATAGAAGGATAAGTCTATATTTCTGAGCTAAAAGTTTGAAATTTAGGTATGAATTTGATCTAAAAAATAGCGCTGAAAATATGTCGATATTTTGCCTTCATTCGGAGTTCAAGTTGTTTACCAGCCGATCGAACATCAATCGCCCCCAAAAATAATTGAAAGGAAATTTGAGTAAAATGAAATCGATTTTAGTTGTTCCCAAGGATAGATCTTCAAAATACTAGAGTATGAGAGAAATCTATTTTTGAGCCCCATATTGACCTGGAGGTTTTTACGGAGACAGCCTCTTAATTACGCATGCAAAATTACTTGAATAGAATTCCTGATTACGTTATGCATGGTTAAGAATTCTATTTAAATCAGCAAACGAAAACATTCTGTTACGTCTCGATTCATTTGAGAAGCCATATAAACAACTCGAGCTCGCGTCTCACCGGGATATCCAAACACTCGATAACAATGTATGAAAACACTCGCGCTTCGCGCTCGTGTTTTCATACATTGTTTTCTCGTGTTTGGATATCCCGGTGAAACACTCGCTCTCGTTGTTCATATATTACGTAAAACACTGGGTTTGTAACGCGCAAGCAGATATTCACATTGGACTTGTCCGATGGTCTTGGATTTTTAATTACATACTATCTTCTATAGTTTATACGCAAATTGAGAAATAAAGGGTCAATCTAATATACACAATATATATATATATATATATATATATATATATATATATATATATATATATATATATATATATATATATATATACTGGGTAACAGGGATATTTCCTCATAGGAAGGGCTAAAGTAGGCCTACAGGTATGGTATTTTCGCTCGCTTTAATTTGTTTTCACAAAGCGAACAGGCAAATGCAATAAACGAGTGAGCTTTGTTAAAACACATCAACGAGTGCGAAAATACAATACAATATAGCCCTTCCCATGAACACATTTGTTTTTATTTATAAACTGAGATACAGAGCTATCAAAACTGATTAATTTATACTTGTGCGGAAACTCGCTTCGCTGTCGACTGACAAAAGTCAATCAGAAATTTTTTCAAATACAACGGGAACGTGCACATCAACCAAAGCATTTTTACCAAAAACAAAAACCTCTATGTTTTGCCTTCTCTTTGCATTCACACAGTTGAGACTGGAATTTGGTAAAAAAAAAATAGCTCGAAAATAAAATGTAGACACGAGAAACACCTCTCCCCACCCCTCCCCTCTTCAGGATCCTATATATAGTCAAAACCATATGCATAAAGGATTTGTTTGAAGAACTGATATGGTTATTCCATGTAACGTAACATGCGTATCACGTGCATGCAAGATAAGAGATAGAGTATATTTCTTAAAACAAGTAATTTTGTGCTTAAAATAAGTAATATTTTCTTATAATAAGAAATTGATTTTTTGCAGTGTAGATACGTATGAAAAGCTATAAATTTCAGTGAAAATCCTTTCGGTACAGGTCAATTTAAATTTTCATGTTTGGTATAATTATATATACCTTGCCATGAAATATCATTGTATCCACCAAATACATATTTTCCTTCTTCTACGGAAACAATCGTCACAGTTGGTCCTTTGGAATCGCACTTTGTATGAAAAGTAGACGCTGGCCAACCATGTTGAGACGCTCGCCAACACAGAGTCCATGTTGATTTACTATTCAACCACTCCATAAGCTTTGCGATAAACTCCCCATTCTCATTAAGAATTTTTGAATGACAAAGTCCATCTATATAGCGTACAGCAATATTATACATTATATTAGATTTAATGTTATTTCAAAATCTGCCATGATCATGCACACTTTTATTTGCGCGTTAATTTTCGCAGAATTGCATGCTTGTCCTCAGAAACAATCAACTTTGTGCGATAATTTTGCTGAAAGAGAATTTATCGGTATACGTAATTAAACATTTTCACAGCAATATCCATGCCAATGATATTACCTGCTTCAGTATCATATATTTAGTATATAGAAAAATAACCAAATTAAATGAATAGTGATTAATTGCTCTTTCTTTCGTTATACGTACTGCTTTAGGTATGCACATGCATGCAGAGGTGGCAAAATGCAGTTTCGAGTGGCATGTATTTGGTACCATATGTAGGTGCCATAATTAATTATAATTAAGAGACTGTTCAATCACGATTGGGGTGTTCATGATTAGGCATTTTTCCTAAAATATATATAATTCAGAAATTTTAGGCCCGTTTTATACGTCGAATTTTGGTCGCGTCGAATGCAATTCAAACGATATAGATAATGAAAGCTTAATGAGGTTTATCATCTCATTATCTCTATCTTAATGCATTCGACGCGACCAAAATTCGACGTGTAAAACAGGCCTTAGACCCCGTTTACACGGTACCGGACGAATTTGGGACCGGACGAAAATTCGTCCTTTTTCGCCTGTTTACACGCGAATTCGTCCTGTTAGGGGGTCTCAAATTCGTCCGGGTCCGTGGTTCTCGTATGTTTACACGGCCGAAACGGACGAATTTTCGTCCGGTCACAAATTCGTCCGGTACCGTGTAAACGGGGTCTTAGATACATTATAGGATGACCCCCAGATATACACAACATAATTTGTTAAAACATACTATTTGCTTGACTTTCACAGATGCCTGGTTCTAGTTCTTCGACTTTTTGTTGGTATTGGTTCCTACAACATTTATCATGCAGTTGAGTTTCAATTTTCTCGTATTCCCCCAACATTACCCTCGTGCATTATCACACAATAAATGTTTCTATTTCTTGTAAAATAATGCTTTATATAAATCCTCATTTGCAGCCTTACACAAACTCATTGGATATTGATTTAACACAAACTCATTGTAAATTGAATGCCAAATACGCGGCACTTATGAGAAATCGCAACTATATATATACTTTTAACAAAAGAAAAAGACAAACCGTAAAGGCAACAAAACCAAAAACTACATATTTTTGCGTAGAAAAAATGTAATACAAAAACCAAATATGCATGGCGAAGGATACAAACCCGAAATTCCCAACTGATTTCTCCTCCTGTTTAAATAATTATATAGTAGTCCATATATATTGTAGTCCATATATATACATATACATGAGTTGAAAATAGAACTTTACCTCAAAGTTTGGAGCTACGATTTCTCCGTATGTTGATTCCGCATCTTCACGAAGACTTTTTTCTGGGAGGGCACGTTTTGTGACGTTTATGTCACAGAATGTGTCCACAAATTTACGACTTTGTCTGTAATTGAATGACTTACACTCTTGGAAACGTCCTATGCATCTCAGTCCGCATTCCAAAATTGTTACCATGGAAAATGTCTCAACAACCATGTCGCCTTTGAGTGCTGCTTAAATAGAAGATCATAGATATTTTTTATGCCAGACAATATCTTCGTTCATATACGTTTTTATATTAGCTATATGCAAAGGATCTGATTCAGAAAATTAACTGAAGAATACTAAACGAAAGAATATTATTTACCACTGCGAATTCATTATATCTACAGATCATTTTTGTCTCTTTGGAAATTTTCTATTGCATTGGCCGGCGCAAACATGTTCCTCAAAGAATAACACCTGCATGCAAGACCTCACCTTGGCTTAATTTTTCATGAAGAAAGTAATATTAAAGCAGTATAATTATCAATACAAAATTTAAACAAATCCGACAAAATCATGCATTCATTCTGAAAATCCACGATATGAACCAATATCAAGTGTATATCGTCAAGTGGTATTTCCAGTCGGCTTTCTTTGCCTTTTGGAATTCTAATTCTTGCAAATCAACTAAATCCTCATCATGAGTTGACCTCAGGAATTAGATTTGCATTGAAGCCTAATATATATATATATATATATATATATATATATATATATATATATATATATATATATATATATATATATATATATATATATATATATATATA